AAAGTTGTACTGGTGATGTTGTAAAGTTGTACCGGTGATGTTGTAAAGTTGTACTGGTGATGTTGTAAAGTTGTACCGGTGATGTTGTAAAGTTGTACCGGTGATGTTGTAAAGTTGTATCGGTGATGTTGTAAAGTTGTACTGGTGATGTTGTAAAGTTGTACTGGTGATGTTGTAAATTTGTACTGGTGATGTTGTAAAGTTGTACCGGTGATGTTGTAAAGTTGTACCGCTGATGTTGCAAAGTTGTACCGGTGATGTTGCAAAGTTGTACCGGTGTTGTTGTAAAGTTGTACTGGTGATGTTGCATAAATTTTACCTTCTCCTTCTGTCTAGTTTGCAGTGGTTGAAAACTGTATCGCTAAGCGTATACGGGAACCAACATACAAGAAATATATTAAGACCCAACTAAAGTGCCCAGCGTTGCCCGTGGAATTTTTAAAAATTCTAAAAATATTTTTCCCATATGTAACTGCTAGGTACCCATGGGTACCCTAAAAAAAATCAGCCAATTTGGTCCATCCGTTTGGCCAGCTATAGCGATTATATAAATGCACGAAAAGGTTTATCATATAGAGATACTGTCATTGTAAATCTAGAAAAACTAGTTCTGTACACTTAAATGCAATACTGAACCAGTTATTTTTAACTTTAATAATTTATTTTAGTGGGCACAAGCTCACACATATAAGTAAAACGATATATCAATAAATCTATTTCCAGTTTATTATGAAGATCTTTTTATTATTTTGTTTTGCTCAAGATCGATTAAAAGTATATACCCCACTTAACTACTTATATATGTTTTCTGTCATCATTTTAAAAAAAAATCAAATGTTTTATCAAGTAACAATCAGAATTGCAAAAGAAAAGAAATTTCGCTAAATATTTTTTGAAAACCCAGTATGATATATACAATAAAAAACAGTATAATATACAATAAAAAAAAACAATAAAATATATAAAAAAACAGTATAATTTACAATAAAAAAAACAATAGTATATATACAATAATACAGTATTATATACGATAAATAAAACAGTACAATAAACAATAAAAAACCATTGTAATATATCATAAAAAATCATTATAATATACAATGAAAACAGTATAATAAACAATAAAAAACCAGTGTAATATACCATAAAAAATAGTATAATATACAATAAAAAACAGTATAATATGCAATAAAAAACAGTATAATATACGATAAAAAAATAATATCATATACAATAAAAAAAAACATATAATACACAATGTTGTTAGAAAAGAACAAAATACCAAGGGAATATAGCTAGACATTTGTAATCAGTAACCAAAATATGATACAACCTATACAGTATATATACACTCAGAGAAACTTTTCTAATTATAAAGGCGAATGAATGAAGTATAACTGAAAAGGAAAAGTAAGATTTTACTTTAGAATGCTAAAATATTTTTTTAAAGTTTTTAAATGCAAAAAAAATACTCAATCAACCTCGATTTAACAGAACCAATAAAACTTAGAATTTTGAGAGCATGCATACTCAGTTTATGAGGGAAAAAATGAAGAAAAATGTTGTTTTTGTAAATTGAAAATATTATTTATCTCACAATACTTTTCTTGTCACGTTTCCAGAAAAATCGACGAATAAAAAATTCTCAAAATTCTTATTAGAAGAAGTGGAAGTCTGAATGAATTTAATAAGGTGGTGTTTCATGAATAAAGTGAAAGCTTTAATTTACCCAAGTTGTGCAAAGAAATTGAGTCTTTTGCCACAAACTCTGATTTTCTGATAAATATTTCTTTGAACCCAATTGTTTCAGACTTAAGATATTTCAAACTATATGAATTAAAATTAAAAAATTATAACAGGAGCAAATTTGAGATTCTCAGGCTCCTGTGGGATATAATCGTTTTCAGATTGGTTGCGTATTTGTTCAAAAAGATCCGGTTAATACTTTACAACTCTCATAAAAAATCTGATATATATAAGTTTTGGCATAATTTTGACACAGTTTTTATATCAATTTCTCGAGACAAGAACATCAAATAGAAGTCTTATATGTATGTACAACGCCTGAGATTCTCAGGTTTAATCATATACCCCCTTTCATTTAAACATTTCAAAATTTTACATTTTTATGCTGTCATTGACCACTTTTACTATTCCAAAACTTTTCATATCATGCTGTCATTGACCACTTTTACTATTCCAAAACTTTTCATATCATGATTGACCACTTTTACTATTCCAAAACTTTTCATATCATGCTGTCATTGACCACTTTTACTATTCCAAAACTTTTCGTATCATGCTGTCATTGATCACTTTGGCCTTTCCAACTTCACATATTTATAATGTTAAGGACGAATTCCTTATTATACTGACCTAAGTGCTTCACTCTCCCCCTCATCAACTTGTATCTGTAGACTCCTGAGCTTAGTCTCCATCCCCTTTCTTTCCTCTTCCAACCTGCTAGCCTGCTCTTGCGCATCCCTAAACATATACACATCAATGTTATAACTGGACTGTGAGAGTAATATCAAGTGACCATACATGCAGAGATTGCAATGCCCGATTCAGAATTGTGTATACCATTGATATTTTAAACTTAGATTCTTTTATCTAATAGAATTCGTAGTTTAAAATATCTAAAATCTAAGACATTGGGTTGCAAAGATAAACAGTGATAAGAAAATCAGGGTTTGTGACAAAGACTCAATTCCTTTGGCATTGTTCCAAAAGATTTATATAATAAAAATTGTGAAACTCTCTACAATGTCGGAAATATTAGAATTATTCAATAGATTTTAAAAAACTTTATAATATCATGAATATTCTTTTGTGGAATTTGCTGACAAGTTTGCAAATATTTATTTTCATTTTGTGGAGGCATGCAAATGGGGCTTCCAGAAAATTGCTATTATTATTATTATTATTAGAAAATAAAGATATGGTTTTATCCAGAGGCGAAATTTAATGATAAGCGTAAAGATATGCGTGTATATACTGAACTGTGTGCACCAAGTTGAACCTCTTCTTTAATGCGCCTAGGAAAAATGAATAGGAGTTCAACTATGACTAACTCTAAATTAAATCCAGTCCCAAACCAGTTTTATGACTAAAATATTACAGTTACCTAAGATTTTCAGCAAGTTGAGCTGCTTCAAGCATCAATGAGCCAGCTCTATCTTCAGAACTATGAAGTTCATCCTTGGTGTCATCTTTTTCAATCTAAAGATGAAGATTGCATAAGCATGAGAAATGCAAAACAGTTAGGAGTAGATACTTACTTGTAAATTCTGAAGATCCATGTTTAAATTCGATTTTTCTTGTGAAAGCCTAGCACTGGTTTCTGTGAGAATAAAAATGTGTTCTGTTGTATCAGACACTTCTTGCTCCAGATGTCTTCTAGCTCTATCTACCTGTTCAAGCATACTCTTCGACTCCTCAAGACTGTTTGACACCGTGCTTCCTTTCCTGTCAAGATCTAACAAAGCAGTTGCTGCTTCCTCACGCTTTCTTTGCTCAAACGCAAGCTTTTCATTCATTCGTTCAATTTCAACGAGAGTCTTGGCAGCAGTTTTAGAGAGTTCATGATGTTTCAACTCTTCTCTATTCAACTTTTCCTCCCATTCAAGGATATTAGACTCTAACTGCTGCTTACTTCTTGAAGCTTCTGCTTTCTCCTTACTTATCTCCTCAATCTTTAGTTTGATTGAGTTCATCATTTCATTGTGGTTTTTCTTGACAACTTCGAATGACTTCTCCATGTCGGAGATTGTATTTATGTTATCTTCCTTTACCTTTTCTATTTCACAGTTGGATACTTTCAACTTGGATTCCTCGTTCATTAAAGCTTTTTCTATATCTTCTAAAGCATTATTTAGATATCCAATATCTCCTTCCAAACATTTTCTTTGATTTTCAATTTCATGAATTTTTCTGCCTCCATCTCTGATGAGCTCTGTTGTATCTTTGATATCATTAGAACTTTTTTTATTCTCCCCACGAGCAGCTTCAAGTTTTGACATTGATTCATTTATTCCATTCTATATACACAAGTTTGGTCAGATGAATAATTGATAATGATAAATTTGTATAAATTACCTTTATTCTATATAGTTCTACAGTAGCATTCCTGCAGTTAGTTTGAGATTCATTTAATTCTTTGCAAAGATCATCCGACCTTCTTTTCCATTCTTGAATATCCCTCTCAGAACTTTTTACTCTTTTCTCAGCCTAAATATTTGGCAGTTTCCCAAGAAAGTTATGTGCGCTTGCCGCTTTGAATTACAAGAAAACGAAAGATTAGTAGATATATATAGGGTTAGGTTAGGTTAATACACTTTCTTGGCCGAGCGCTGCGGCTAAGAAAGGCTAGGGGGCCGAGCGCCACTGCTAGGACAGGCTAGGGGGCCGAGCGCCGTGGCTAGAACAGTCTCTCTCTTTGTTTTGTAATTCAATGCGGCATGTACACGTAACTTCCATGGTCTTCTGCCTAATTAGTTGAATAAATAACTGTACAACTACAGTAAGAACCAAAAAACATCAAAACTGTAAGACGACTTTTGTGCATTGTACAAATATATAACAACATAAACTACACTTGACTATTACTTTAATATCGTCTTCCTATTTCATAGTTTTTTGGTTCTCATTGTTCAAAAAAAAATGTTTACTTGTCCAAGCTTCACAATTGTAATTTCATTTCTCCGCTGAGCCTCTTCAAGATTCCTGATAGAAGGTTTACAATAGTAGTTGATTAATGCCAGAATAAAGAGACCGGTTAGATATTTAAACACGGTTAAGCAACTTGCTTAGAGGGTTAGAAATATCAAATAGATCTACTAAAGTAACAAAAAATGCAAAAAAAAATTTATTTTGTGTCTTTTTACTGCACGGCAAAACCTAAAAAGTCTTTTTAATAATATTGTTAATCCCTCTATATCTTTGCAACCTAAAGTTGTAGTCTTTTGATAATTCAAACTATGAATTTTGCAAGATAAAAAAGTTAAAGTTTAATAATTGGAAATATTTACGCCATCAGGTTCCAAATATATATGGATAAAACATTAGAGTGTGTTGCCAGTAATCAGTTCATTCCTATTAAACATCAATGTAAAATATCATTGCAATCTTCATGGGGGGACCATAATCTGAAACAAAATATTTATTTGAGCTAGGACCAGATTTAATAATTAGAAGTAGTTGCAAACTTGATAGAACATCCAATTTTGTAATCCTTGACCTATCTTAAGGTAAAGTAGTGAAACAATCTCTTGAAAAGTAGAATTGTTACCTGGCTGTTTCAAGTTTCCTGTTTTCTATTATTTGGAGTTGTTTGCTCAGTGTATTGAGTGTATCTTCCGCCTCACACACCCGTGTTTGCAATTTCAATTTACAATTCTCAAGTTCTTCAACTCTTTCTTTTATTTCTTTTTCATATTTCAGTTTCCACACATTTACGTCTGATATTGCTCGATCCAAACTGAACTGAAGTTCTTTCCTGCTACTTTCTTCGTCCAGAAACTGTTCTTGATATCCATCTAACTCATGTTGTATAGTTTTTATTTTTCCGGACAGTGAAATATTTTCTCTTTCTTCGTTTTCACACATATTTGTTGCCTTGTTTAAAAGCTCTTTCAAACTTGAAACTTCTCTCTCTCTAAGGTTCACAGCACTGTTGAGTGCATTGAGTTCATTGCTCATTTCCAAGTTTTTGCTTGTAAGATGTTTGTTGACACTCATAGTCTTTGTCAACATTTCCTCCTTCATCCCAGCCTGTGTATTTATGGTTGTGAGTTTGTCAATCAATGATTTCAAATTCTTCTCTGCGTGAACAGTGTCCTGACTAACCCTGTCTATAGCAGCTGATGTATCTTGAATTTCAGCTTTTAAGGACACCATATCCTTTTCAACTCTTATTTTGATCGACCTTAAAGCCTCAAGCTGGAGTGACATTTCACATGTGGCTTCTTGATGTTTCTTCTTGAGTTTCAAGATAGTGCTCTCCCATGATATCATTGTTTCTTCCTTATCCTTTCTCATTTCTTGAAGTTTGATATCAAGTTTGCTATTTAATTCCATCTGAGAAACCATGTTTGCAGTTGATTCATCTAAGTGAGTTAAGTATTGTTCATGGCTTCTTGCTAGCTCTGATCTGCTGAGTTCTGCATACATTTTGTTCTGCTTAACACTCATTAACTCTTGCTCCATTTTTTCAACCGTGGCTTCAAGATCATGCACCTTGGATCGAATTTGAAAAGCATTACCCTCTTCAATCTCACACTTAATCTCTGCATCCTTCTTTTCTTTCAATAGCCTTTCCAAATTTTGAGTCAAGTTTAGTTTATCTCTACTAAAATCATGAACCTTAAGTTGTTCAATCTTCAATAGAGATTCGATTTGTGATCTTTCAGAGTCTATCTTATGCTTCAAATCCTCCTCAGCTGTGATAGAAGATACAATGCTCTCTTTCACAATTTCCATTTCTTTAAGACAATTGATTTCTGAGCTCAATTTGTCTTCCATGCTTTCCAGATTATTTTTGCTTGCTGCTCCCTTTTCTGATAAAATCTTTTTCTCCGAAGACAGTTTTGTCAGAATTTCATCATTTCTTGCAATAAGGTCATTCAACTCTCTCAGATAAGTGTCTCTCTGTTGGAGGACAATTGAAACATCCTCTTTGTCTCTAATCAAATTAGAATAAACTTCCTGCAATTGATTCAATTTTTTTTCTTCCATGTTATTTTCATCCTGGACATCTTCTTTTGATGATTCGATATCATTAAATTCAAATTGTTTTTCTTTTATATGATCCTTTAAATCAGAAACTGAGTGTTTCAACATTTCTAATTTTTCTTGCAATCCAAAAATATTGCCATGCCGACTTCCAAGGATAGATTTCATTTCATTGATTTCTTGCTCTACAGCTGTGTTTGAAGTGGACAGTTGATTTATTACAGCTTGTTTTTCATTTAGAATTTCATTAACTTCATAAAATCTAGATTCCAACTGTTGTAGAACCTCCTCCATGTTTATCTGTCCAATCAAAGGCTTTGTTAGATGTATGAGAGAAAACCACTTCCAATCTTTAATATTTAGATATTTACGTAAGTTTCGTTGAATGACTTTAATCATGGCTCTTTGTAGGCATTTGAATTCATACTTTTTTCTGGCTTCATATCCAAAAATAGTGCCTTGAAGTTTTTGCACAAGGTCCTGAACAACTATATCTCTAGACTCTTCAAGCTGGGCAAGTGCTCCTGCCCTAAAAAACACCTTTGTATGACCCAGTCTAAACCTGTCATTTACTTCGGGAATTTCCTGTAGAATTGCAGTAGCAGCTTCCTTTTCCTCACAATCATCAGACACTTTTCCTCGGGCTATTATACAATATCTTTTCTGGAAATCATTGTATGGAATTCTGTTTGGAAATCCTCTCATACATATCCTGATACCTTCAAGCACACCATTACAAGTAAGCTGATGCATAATCAATGGTGGATCAACACCCCCTGGTTGTTTGCAGGTGTTTGGAACAATGCATCTAACAAAATGGGGATCAGTGCTGTTCAGCGTTGCCATTAGTGCAACCAAATCCACAAGGAAAACAGAAGATACAGTTTTACCTCCTCCTCCCTTTTTCTTTTTCCCTTTCTCCTCAGTGGGAACAGAGCTCTGCCCTGGATGATCACTCCAAAGTTGGACCATTAATTTATTGGTACTCAACTTCATTAAATCAACAACTGTATCATTTACTGGATCTTTATTCTTTTCCAACCAAGCAGTGACATTGTAAGAAACTGTTCCAGCATAGTGAACAACGGCAAAGTGGGCATTTTTATCTGTCTTGGACTGGGGTTTTGCAAATGATGGGCATTTTCCAAGAAGTGTTGATTTCAACTTTTCCTCCAGAGACTTGTCAGTTGCTTTGGGAAACAAGGACTCCTCTTCTAAGATTGCCCAAACTCCCATAGGTTTCTCAAACATGATAATACATGCTGCAAGATCCATTCCAAAGTCAACCATTTGCCAATCTATTCCTTCTGAAATGTACTCTTCTTGCTCGACAACAAACATGTGGTGATTGAAGAACTGTTGAAGCTTTTCATTAACAAAGTTAATGGAAAGCTGTTCATAGCCATTATAGGTGAATATTTCAAATCCTGCTATATCAAGAACTGCGCAAAAGTTTACTTTCTTCATTGTTGGATCCATCAAAGTATCATTGCATTTTTCAATAAGCCACAAAAAAGTGCGATGATAAATTGCTCTTGCGATACCTCCAACAGCATTCAAAGCTTGTTCAACATTTTGACCTTTCACCACCCATTCTGTCCCAACTTTAATCTTTGGTTTAGTGAAGGCTGTCATCATCTGTAATGCATCTATTCCACATAATGTCCCTACCTTATTAGACAATTCATTTTTATCTGGTTCACATTGCTCCTCTCGACCTTTTTGTTTAAATTTTAGGTCTCCCATGGACATGACAGCAGCAGTGAGTTTGTAACAGTTCCATTTTTCGGTTTCTGAGAATCCAATTATATCAAAGGCATTGTCAGTAAACTGAAGTTCTTCATTGTCATTGATAGAGTCAACCTTTGTTCTTCCTTGACAGACATATGAGTAATCATAAATAGTATCAGTGAGCAGACACTTTTCTTTTAAGTCAGGAACTGCAGGTTGAAGCATTTGGTAAAAAATGTGATAACTTCTTTCCACTTCCTGCTGTTGAGTTATTCGTGACTTTTCAAACAGATATGCTTTAATATCACAACCAGCCAATTTTCCTTTTGTATTAAAGTGAATCCTTATAAATTTTCCAAATCTAGAGGAATTGTCATTTCTTGATGTTTTCGCATTTCCATAAGATTCTAAGATAGGATTAGTTGCAACAATTTGCTCTTCAAGAGAAACTTTTTTCTCTGATTTCTTTCCTGACGTGGCAACCATTGCTAAATATGAGATTACCTTCTTGGTATTCTCTGTTTTACCAGCGCCAGACTCACCGGTTATCAACATACTTTGGTCCTTATCCTTCAGAAGCATATTCCTATATGCTGCTTCTGTTACTGCCCAGAGGTGTGGCGGACATTCATTCCTTCGTTTTCCTTTATACATCTTCACAACCCTCATGGTGTAGATGGGATATCTCTTGTAAGGATTTACAACCACGCAGAACAGTCCAGAATATGTGTAAATCAATTTAGCCTGGAAGATACATTAGATATTATTTCTTAACACAAATATTTGCTTGAATTTAATGATACCTGATATCTGGACTTTAGATTATAAAATACCGAGGCTTCATTCAGAAATGTCAAATTTGCCATGTCCTCACATTTCTCAAACTTTGGAGGATTTACTGGAGCAACTTGATTAGGCTTAAAATGCTTCTTCTAAAATTAGAATTTAAATATAGTTTTATAATTCTATAATAATTATTTTAAAAAACTTTACCTCATGTCCAAGAAGAACGGTAATTTTGTCAGCATCTTCATACTCCTTCAACCCTTCAATAAATCCTCCTTGGCCATCCTTAACATCGAAATAATCACAACATGTACAAAATGTTTTATTTGATTTTGTTAGAAATTTAGAGGGATGACAGAGATTAAATTTCTATTCTAAAATATTGTGATTTTAACGACAAAGTATTAAAATATATGAGATTTTTCATCATAACTACAATTTGAAATTTCAGAAAAATTAAAATTACGAATTTAATTTAAATTTAGAAAAAGAATTTTTGAAATGTTTTATCATTTATCCAGCATATCTTAAAGATCATTTAATATTCCATAATTTTTAAAGAAGGCTGAAGAGTATTGTGGGCTACCAGAAAAAAAAATCCAATCAATTAAAGATAAGTACCTCAGCCCAGACTGATCGTTTAGGATCATATGCTTTAGATGATGTATCCTTCCTTTTATTCTCCAAGTTGACCGTAAGGTAGGGGAGAGGATCAGGATCTGGTTCACCTCCACTTCCCAGCTTTATATGGCCAGGCATCCTAAAAGTGCAAGAAAGACTAAATTGAAAAAACTACAAAAACAAACAAAAATTATCTGTTTATGCAACTGTAAATATGTTTTTTGGCCGGGCTTTTTACTTTTTTCGTTTGTTTACTGTTTAAATTCATTATTTTTAATCACGAACATAGTGAGAGATTTAAAAATTTTGAATTTAAAATGCAAAAAATTACAACAAAAAACATAATGTCCCAAATGATAATACAAGACAGTTGGATAAATAGATTTATTCAATTCAAGTTTCATGAAAATGTGCGATTTTTTTATTAAAATCCGCAAAGAAATGGGAAACCTGCTTTTGGTATTAAATGTTACTTATTTGCCTCGGAACAAATAAGAAACTTTTTATACTCAAGCTCATGAAATTGTGAGTAAAAATGCGGGATAAAATTCTCTCAAAATTAAATGAAATCCTATCTATGTTATATGTGAGGTCAAATTTGGTCAATAATGTCTTGTTTTTTAAATAGCTCGAAATATAATCGCACAAAACACAATTATACTTACAAGAAAAAAAGTCACTGATTTATAGTATTCAGAAGAAAAAACACCGCTATATTTTTTCCTGCACTCTCATCAGTTTGGGATTTTTACAACATTATTTGGACAGTGAATTATTTTGGGTTTTAAAAGAGCAATACCATTTAAATAGCTTAAACAAATAGTGTCTGGATGGAAAATGGTTGGCCTGACTCCTTAAGTATTTTTTAAAAAGTTTAAGCATATTTGGGCCTTACTACTTTATGAGTGGATTAGCAAAATAATCTATTGTTTCTGAACTGAACAGAAAACGGTTGTACAAAAGCCAATATTCATCTTTAAAGTTTAAGGATAAAGAAACTGATTTTCTAATCCCTATATCTTTGCTACCTGATGTTAGAGACCTTTGTTATTTTAAAGTATGAATAAATCGACGATTTACATATTTTGCAGAAATTAGGTTTTTTTGCTTCATTTTCTAACTTCGCTTTTAATTCTTATTTATGGTGTTAATGAAGCAAAAATCTAGTAATAGAAATATATCAGTATTTTTCAGTATTTTTCATAAAATAAATCAGAATAATAATTGTCCTAGATGCCTGAACACTCTACTAAAGTTTGTAAAGAGAGATATTGTGCAGAACAAAAATAAGTTTAATGCATATGCAGTAAACTTATATTCTGCTTTTTCCAATATTGTTTTTGCAATAAAACAACAATAATAGGAATAGAAAAGAGATCAAGATAGGCATTAAGAAAGTAATTATTTATGTATGAAATATAACCAAAACCAAACAAAATTAATTGTTTAAAAGAAAATATTTAAAAACCTCCAAAAATAGAGGTTGTAGGAATAGTTCCCCCCAATGCTAATAAAGGGATAAGGAAAGAAAAGAAAAAGGAACTTTAGATACTTTACATTTACTGGTTTTTAGTATTTTCGACGATAAAATAACAACTTTTATAAAAAAAAAATATAAAGTTAAATAAAAAAATAAAATAAAAAAATAAAATAATAATAAAATAATAATAATAATGATAATAAAATAATAATAATAAAATAATAATAAAAATAATAAAATAAATTTTGAGAATTTCTTTAGTTTACGAGAATTAGTCAGCAAACGATTTGAATGGTTTCAAAGTTGGCCTCCAGTCTGATTAGGGTTTCAACCTTGGCCTCCAGTCTGATTTAAAAGGGTTTCCAGAAAACGAAAACTATTAAACGTTTGTACTATGATGGTGAGTTTGATCTGATTTGATTTTAACTTTAATTCTAAGTTGCATTTTTAAAATTGAAAATGATATCTCAATAATTAAAATCAAATTTTTTTATATCATTCATTTCCACTTGCTCAGATCACTTTTAAGAATTTAAATTATTAAAATAAAAACTTTACAGGTTTCTTTCTCAAAATTTTTTACAAAAGATAATAACGAACGATTTCTCTGTGTTTTAACATAAAGAATTGTGATCTGCTTTAAATAGGTAAATTTCTTAAATCTCCAATAGCCGTTGATTTAAAGGTTGTGTTTGTGAATATGAAAAGATAAAGACTAAATCAGAATTGATTTTGGAATCCCTGATATCAATTTTTTTGCAAAATAATGTTTAACTTCTAAGAAAATTTGAAGAAAAAGCATTTGTCGCGTACAGCGAAGAATCCTTTATATCCTTTCAGCTAGCCTACAGGGATTGAGTCTTTGTCACAAACTCTGATTTTCTAGTCCCTTCTTTGCAACATTATGGTGTAAACCTTTGGTATTTCAAACTTAGACGATTTGATCTAACAGAATTTATAGTTTGAAAGTTGCAAAGAAATAGGGATTGCAAAATCAGAGTTTGTGACAAAAATCAATTCCTTTGGTACATTAAACGCGGTGTGTCCACTAAACACTGGGTGCACTAGACAGGCTGGTAAGAGAAAATATGTACAATTACACTAGAATAGGGTAAATCATCGTTGGTTTGATTTATGCAACGGAAGGAAATCTATCAGGGCGTATCATGGTCCTCCAAAATAAATCAGCTGTAACCCAATTATAATTTAGTATGACTTTATTGCTAAAAGTATAGGATTTCTTTGAAATTAATTGAACTATTTATTTTTTAAATCGGGGGGGGGGGGGCGGATCTATCCGGATTCTGTCCTGTTAGCGACAAACTTTTCTTACAATTTTCTTATTACGCAAACATCAAATGAAAAAAAGATTGATACAATTCCATTTCCAAAATATTTAATTTGGGTTTAGCCTATACCACCCTTCAAGATTTTGTAAACACTCCCTTTAAAAGTCCTAAATTGTGAATTCTTTTAAACTATATAGTATTCAGACATAAAAAGATTTTAAATCTACACAGAAATCGTTTTATTCAATCAGATTATCTTAAATTGAAATTTATTATCTATCTAAAGAATTCAATTAGATGGGGGGGGGGGGGGTGATTTTTCTTCCCCTGTCTAAAGCCTGTAATTATCCTATTAAGTTTCTTTTTGCTTTTTTGTGTTGCGTTAGGTGATTATGTCAATATAATGAAGACGACTTTTGTACTTAAGTTCAAGCTGGTTCCGAATTAAAAGTTTACAAGTAATTAACGAGAAGCTTTTATATTTGACAGCTTTTTTTTTGTTTCCATGTTTTTGTGTATCCATGCTGTTTAAAAGCTTGATATAAATCAAAATTAAATTCGATAGTCGTCTTTATAATATTGATGATGATTTTTTTATTGGGTGACCGGTAAATCGTTAAATGATACCATTTAAACACTTTTCATTTAAAAAACTTCAAAGCATGTTTTTATATTTTGAGCAATGTAAAGAGAAAAATCCTGTGAATTTAATTTTTATTTTTCTAAAGAATAATTCAGAGATTCAAAACATGTTTTTTTTTTTATTTTGGACAACTTAAACAGAAGAAAACAAAGAAGTCTGTTTTTAAAAAAATATTAAATTAAAAACCTAGAAAAGAATTTTGAATCTAATAATATTTGTTCCGTTGTTTTGTATTACCCCAGAAAATATAATTAAAAACATTAAAAATTATTAATCCGCTTTCATTGCAAGTAATCTAAATTATGTTCAAATGTTTAAGTATAATGATAAATCGTTTCTTCAGCTTTGAAATAGAAATAAAATATGTTAAATTAACCTTCAAAAGTTTTAAATATCTAAATCACATTGTTGTATCCTCCAACATCAGATGAAAGAAAGATTGAAACCCATTCGATTAAAAATTTACTTTGAGTTTATCAAAACTTCCTAAAGTCATAAATTGTGAATTCTCCCTTGAAGTAAAACCATCTGATGATACTCAGATATAAAATCTAAAAATCTAAAAAGAATTGTTAATCTAATTATATTTGTATGCGTTATTTTACATTTTACATCAAAAAGTATGATTTTAAAAATTCAAAATTTCATTGCAAAGTTATATGAATTATGTTCAAAAGTTTAGGTTTAAATGATTAATCGTTTCTTAAACTTGAAATAGTATGCATAAAAAGTTATTCATTAACCTTCAAAAAGTTTAAAATAATTAAATTTAAAAAATTAGTGCTTAAAGTTTGATGTTGAGGAGACCTGGTTCAATTTTTTCTATCTGCTAGTTCAAATATGACAAGATTTTTCTGGTTTCCCAAACCCCCATTGTTTTTAAGCAAAATTATTTTAGTAGTCTTAAAAATTTAACAACTTTTACTTCTGAGCAATGGAGAAAATAAAATCGTTTGTTAACTTTTGCATGAGAATTTTCTTTTTTTAGGTTCCACTTTATAAGATGTTTAAAACCTCTTAAAAGACAAAAGTGTTTAATGTTTGCAAACGGATTAAAATACCTCTGGTGGAGTCCTGACAGTAAATAAACCATCCCTTCGATATAGTAATTAACATTAAATCAAATATGTACGATTTCCTTCCGATAGAAAAAATTTCCCTCCACTGGCCTCCGCTCAAGCTAACGAAGGGGCCTAAATATACTACTGCAAACTTCAATCCTTCATCTTAAAGGTTCACTTGCATAATATTAAATTTAAGTCGAAATACTCATACCCAGGAAAATAAATTTTAAAGTTTTTTTAAAGATCAACATATGCTATCTCTTATATTTTTGAACTAACCCTAAAAAAGTTATATCACATGGGTCCGCTCGGTGCATGATCCAAACCAGTACAGGGATTTTCCTGCTTTTATTGTGATCGTACTGCATATGCATTTACTAAACTAGCTCGTTTAATGAACCCAGTTTGTAGTTCTGATGGGCATCAGCGAAAACTATTTTAATAATCGTTTTCAAATCTTGTTGGTTAATATCTTTGGTTAAAACAAAAATGTTGCAAAATATAAGAGCAATTACTTATAGATATAGCATGCAATTTTGTTAATTAGTAAATACATCTCAGATTAAGCCTAGTAAAATTTTAAAACTTTACATGTTTAAAACGGATCTCGAAAAGATGCCCAGGAGATGTGAGTATAGTCGACATATAGCGCGTTTTGTAAGAAAAATGCAAGCTGGATAAATCTATGAAGTCAGCGCAAGCGGTTTTAAAAATCAACAATCACAAAGGGAAGTCGATTTTTCAAATTTTCGAAACATGTTGATATGGGTGTTTAAAGTTGCGCTTCGAATATTGTCCAGTTTTTTTTTTTTAATTGTGAAAATTGATTGATCTGGAGCAAACAAACTATTATTCTTGAAGGACTCGGGAAAATAATCCCTACAAAGTCTGTTTTTTTCCTATAACTTATTCAACTTTTAACAGATTTTTATAATTTTAACAATTTTTTATTCAGTGTTTCAAGACGGATGTTTTGGTACCAATATCACGGTGGACTAAGCCAGTGGGGTCGGTCAAATAGGCCTAGGATTAGGCCGGGTACAATAAAAAGTCTGAACGCGCCATGGGAGTTGTCATAGTTAGCCCTCCGACGGGACTATGCCAAGAAAATTGACCCCTGTCGTATGTTAGTCTGGTTAGGGCGACGTACTGTACCATAGGATCTGGTCAGTACACGCTGTTATCTGGCAGGCCGGTAAAAACTGGGCAGGTCCTGTTCGAATTCGAATTTACTACGGCCCAGAGTGATATCGACATATTTTGAAAAAAAAATATATTTTTTCTTGAACTACTGATTGAATACTTACAAAAACGTGATGAGCTGGATGAATTTAAAAGTGAGAACAAAAAATTTAACATTTTTGTTTTGCTTTTTTACTATAGAAACTTTTAAGACACGTGCAATATCTTATTTCAGATTTAAAAGAACACTGCACTGATATCTTCTTTGTTAGATCTTATGGTTCAGTTATTAAAACAAATGTTCAAAAGAGATTCCGATGACGCGAAACAAAAATTATTCCTTCATTCGAGAAATATTCATTTAAATGTAATAGATTTCAAAGGTTTTTTAAAAAAAAACATTACTTTTATATTTATAAAATCGGTTTGTTAGGATAATGATGATAACGTAATTTCAATTCTGTTAAATAAGTATATTTTAGAGAGAGGGCTTTTTGCGAAGATGAAATGACTAGTTAAATGTGTTGATGATTTGTAGATTTTGCTCAAACTTTGGTTTAAGTTCTCCTAAGAGATTAAACTCAATTTGATTTGATTTCAAATATATATCATTAAATAAACCCTTCTAGATTTAACAAGAAGTTTTCAACTTTTTATCTAAGGTCCGATTGCAGGCTTAAAGGTAAATCTCTAAGGATTATAATTTTAACCAGAAATGAAATGAATTTTTAACAAACAATTATTTTAAAGCCATATATCTTTGCATCCAAATGTCGTAGAACTTGAATATTTAAAACTATAAATTCTGTTAAATTAAATAGTCTAAGTTGAAAATATAAAAAGTTTACACCTTCAGGTTGCTAAGATCAGAAAATATGAGTTTGTGACAAAAGCTCAACACCTTTATATTATTTAGTTTTCAGTAATAATTCAGAAGTAAGATATGTTTAAGCTAAAGCCCAGAAAGTGCATGTAAAGCATAAATTAAATTGTCTGTAACTGTATTCTTTAAACTTTTTTCTTATTTCAGTTCATACTTTACAATTTAATATCATAGAATATGATTATGATATACGAAATTCAAAGCAAATTATTAATTTTAATCTTTGCTGACGAAAAAAAAGCTATTTTAACATTTAGTGAATAACTATCATTTGTGGTTATAAGATTTTTTTAAATGGAAATTAATGGAAATAAAACTTTAGATATGATCATTGTTTGACATAACCCCAATTCCTTTGTACACACTTTTATTTTCAGGAATCAGATTATCCAAACGTTTAGTGTTAAAACTGCCTCCTACTATATATTATACCTGGAATAACCCTGTCTCCCTACTATATATTGTACCTGGATGATGTCTCCCTACTAATATATTGTACCTGGATGAACCCTGTCTCCCTACTATATATTGTACCTGGATGAACCCTGTCTCCCTACTATATATTGTACCTGGATGAACCCTGTCTCCCCACTAAAGTCTAGGCTGTATGTTGGTCCTCTATATTTAAAGGGTAACTTCTCCACCTGTTCTCCTGATATCCCACTAAATGTCCTGCTTACATTTCATTAAATGAAATAGAGTCCTTCTGGCATTTTCTCTAGACAGCTTGTGGGTGCTGGGAATCTACAGGGTGTCCCACTAAACATGAAATTAGCAAGATGATCTAATGTCTCTATTTTTGAAATAATTTGCGACTTTTCTTTTTTATATACCTAATTGTAGAAATAGCACTCTTAGATTTTTTTTCACAATTATTTTGAGCTTTTGATATTTCGGGAGATATGAAGAATTTTTCCTTAAGATGGCGAGAATTTTGATTTAATTTAAAATTGAAATCAAAACGAAATTCTTAATATTTCCGATATTATTGACAGCACAAAAAAAAGGCAGATTTTATTTTGGAAATGCAAGAACTAGGTGAATTTTGTGGTTATTGTTTCAAGAATCGTACATGTTAAATTGTAGGTTTACGACTGAATGTAAGCAATAAATTCAAATATCAAATACGACTTTCAAGTCGTCTTGCTACTGTCACGTTTCGTGGGACACCCTGTAATAAAATTATAAAATCTAGACTTCTTTAATATCAGAAGAGGAATCACGGGAAAAGGTGGTGTTAGATGTTTGTATATTTAAACAGTAATTTAACAAAGTTCCCCCGGGTTGAATAATTCTAAGATGGACTGAATGTTTATTTAGTTTTCGTTAAGAATGCTTGATGGTCAAAGTCGGCACGTTTCATCAGTTCTGCAAAAAAATTAACCCCCTGAAGAGATAAATTTAGGAAGGATAAAACATTTGGACTTTAAGATTACGATATTTAAAAAAAATTTATAGGTTTTATGAAGCAAGTTAACACTTGCCTTTAATCTTAAAATTGTGTCAAATGTATATGTTTGTATGTTTTATATGGTATTAGAAAATTCTATACGTAATCCACGAGTTTTATGAAATCTAATCCCCTGTAAGGAAAAGTCAAATATTTCTTATTAAAATGGCTTCAGAAAGAAAACTTTTCATGAAAGAAAACTTTTGAATCTAAGTAAAAGACTGGCGATAAGGATAATTTGTTGTGTAAACATTAAACACTTTATTGCATTCAATTTGGGGTTTCTATAGTTATCATACAATCTTGAAGATATTTGATGAAAAGGAAGAACCTTGCAAAATGGATGGAATGAAATAGATAAAGAAAGAGGAAAAGGAATGTGAAATGGATGGAATGGAACATATGAAGTGAGGGGAAAAGGAAAAATACAGAAAGGCAGACAGGAAAATGAAATGGATGGTATGGAATAAATAAATAAAACGAGAAAGGAAAGTGAAATTGATGGAATTGGACCTTGAGGACTAGAACCTTGAAGAATAGAAACTTGAAGAATAGAACCTTAAAGAATAGAATCTTAAAGAATAGAACCCTGAAGAATAAAACCTTGAAGAATATAACCTACAGGAATAGAATCTTGAAGAATATAACCTTAAAGAATAAAACCTTGAAGGAAAATAAAACCTTGAAGAATAGAAGAACAGAAACTTGAAGAATAGAAGAATAAAACCTTGAAGTATAGAACGTTGAAAAAGAACCTTAAAGAATATAGCATAGAAGGACAGAACCTAGAAGAATAGAACCTTAAAGACTATAATCATAAAGATTAAAACCTTGAAGAATAGAACCTGGAAGAATAGAAACTTGAAGAATAGAACCTAAAAGAATAGAACCTTGAAGAATGGAACCTTGAAGAATAGAAGCTTGAAGAGTAAACCTTGAAGAAAAGAACCTTTAAGAATAGAACCTTGAAGAATAGAACCTTGAAAAATTGAACATAGGAGAATAAAACCTTGAAGAATAGAACCTTTAAGAAAAGAACCTTTAAGAATAGAACCTTGAAGAATGGAACCTAGAAGAATAGAACCCTGAAAAATAGAACTTTGAAGAATAGAACCTTAAAGTAAAGAACCTTGAACAAGAGAACCTTTAAGAATAGAACCTTGAAGAATAGAACCTTTAAGAAAAGAACCTTTAAGAATAGAACCTTGAAGAATGGAACCTAGAAGAATAGAACCCTGAAAAATAGAACCTTGAAGAATAGAACCTTGAAGAATAGAACCTTGAAGAATAGAACCTAGAATAATAGAACCTAGAAAAATAGAACCTAGAAAAATAGAACCTTGAAAAATAGAACATTGGATAATAACCTTAAAGAATGGAACCTTGAAAAAAAGAACCTTGAAGAATATAACCTTGCTGAATAGAACCTTGAAGAATAGAACCTTGAAGAATGTAACCTTGAAGAATGTAACCTTGAAGAATAGAACCTTGAAGAATAGAACCTTAAAGAATGTAACCTTGAGAAAAAGAACCTTGAAGAATAGAACCTTGCTGAAAAGAACCATGAAGAATAGAACCTTGAAGAATGGAACCTTGAAGAATATAACCTAGAAGAATAGAACCCTAAAGAACAGAACCAATAAGAATAGAACCTTGAAGAATAGAACCTTGAAGAATAGAACCTTGCTTAAAAGAACCTTGAAGAACAGAACCCTAAAGAATAGAAACTTGAAGAATAGAAACTTGAAAAAAAAGAATCTAGAAGAATATATTCTTGAAGAATAGAACCTTGAAGAATAGAACCTGGATGAATAGAACCTTGAAGAATAGAACATTGAAGAATGTAACCTTGAAGAATAGAAACTTGAAAAAAAGAATCTAGAAGAATATATTCTTGAAGAATAGAACCTTGAAGAATCGAACCTGATGAATAGAACCTTGAAAAATAGAATCTAGAAAAATAGAACCTTGAAAAATAGAACATTGGAGAATAAAATCTTTAAGAATAGAACCTTGAAGAATGGAACCTTGAAGAAAAGAACCTTTAAGAATAGATCCTTGAAGAATGGAACCTTGAAGAAAAGAACCTAGAAGAATAAAACCCTGAAAAAAAACCTTGGAGAATAGAACCTTAAAGAATAGAACTTTTCATTTTTAGATTACAAAACGCCCCACATATTACTTTAAAACATAATACAATGGTCAGCGTTTATATTAATACAATGAAGACGACTTTTATATTTAATTTTTTTTTTAATTCAAAGGTTCACAGGTCGGCAAAGACAAACTGTTTTTTTACAGTTTTTCTCTGTTTTCATCTTAAAGTGTGTCTATGCTGTTTGAAATCTTGGTAGAAATAAAAAATTTAAATCAAATGTCATTGTATTGATATATACGATGACAACTGTAGAAATTCACACAACGTTAAATGCATGTAATAAAACATTAAGAAGTGTTTATCCTAATATCAGGATCAAAACAGAATGTGCAGAAGACAAAAATCAAAATGTTTTTATTGCATTTTATATTCTTCTGACAGAACTGATGTTTTTTGAGACACTCAGTCCAGCATGGTATTTTTATGAGTGGTGTATAGTGGTGTAGAGTGGTATACAATATACATGTATTGTTGATTGGATCTATTGACATTTACTTATATATTTATGAAAGGGAGTGTACACTACACTGTTCATTTATATATTTATCAAAGGGAGTGGGCAATACACTGTTCCTTTATATATTTATTAAAGAGAGTGTACACCACACTGTTTCTTTATATATTTATCAAAGGATTGTATACCACACTTTTCCTTTATATATTTATCAAACAGAGTGTACACCACACTGTTCCTTTATATATTTATCAAAGGATTGTATACTACACTGTTCCATTATATATTTATCAAAGGATTTATACTACACTGTTCCTTTATATATTTATCAAAGGATTGTGTACTACACTGTTCCATTATATATTTAGCAAAGGGAGTGTACACTACACTGTTCATTTATATATTTATCAAAGGGAGTGGGCAATACACTGTTCCTTTATATATTTATTAAAGAGAGTGTACACCACACTGTTTCTTTATATATTTATCAAAGGATTGTATACTACACTGTTCCTTTATATATTTATCAAACAGAGTGTACACCACACTGTTCCTTTATATATTTATTAAAGGATTTTATACTACACTGTTCCTTTATATATTTATCAAAGGATTGTACACTACACTGTTCCTTTATATATTTATCAAAGGATTGTATACCACACTGTTCCTTTATATATTTATCAAAGGATTGTATCCTACACTGTTCCTTTATATTTTTATCAAAGGGAGTGTACACTACATTGTTCCTTTATATATTTATCAAAGGGAGTGTACACTACACTGTTCCTTTAAATATTTACCAAATAGAGTGTATACTACACTGTTCCTTTATATATTTATCAAAGGGATTATACACTACACTGTTCCTTTATATATTTATCAAAGGATTGTATACTACACTGTTCCTTTATACATTTATCAAAGGGAGTGGGCGCTACACTGTTCCTTTATATACTTATCAAAGAAAGTGTACACCACACCGTTCCTTTATATATTTATCAAAGGGAGTGGGCACTACACTGCAGTGCCTTTATATATTTACCAAAGGGAGTGTACACTACACTGTTCCTTTGTACATTTATCAAAGGGAGTGTACACTACACTGTTTCTTTATATATTTAGCAAAGGGAGTGTACACTACACTGTTCCTTTATGTATTTATCAAAGGGAGTGGGCGCTAAACTGTCCCTTTATATACTTATCAAAGAAAGTGTACACAACACCGTTCCTTTATATATTTATCAAAGGGAGTGGGCACTACACTGCAGTTCCTTTATATATTTACCAAAGGGAGTGTACACTACACTGTTCCTTTATACATTTATCAAAGGGAGTGTACACTACACTGTTTCTTTATATATTTAGCAAAGGGAGTGTATACTACACTGTTCCTTTATATATTTATCAAAGGGAGTGGGCGCTAAACTTTTCCTTTATATACTTATCAAAGAAAGTGTACACCACACCGTTCCTTTATATATTTATCAAAGGAAGTGTACACCACACTGTTCCTTTATATATTTATCAAAGGATTGTATACTACACTGTTCCTTTATATATTTATCAAACAGAGTGGGCGCTACACTGTTCCTTTATATACTTATCAAAGAAAGTGTACACCACACTATTCCTTTATATATTTATCAAAGGATTGTATACTACAATGTTCCTATATATATTTATCAAAGGAAGTGTACACAACACAGTTTCTTTATATATTTATCAAAGGATTGTATACTACAATGTTCCTTTATATATTTATCAAAGGATTGTATACTACACTGTTCCTTTATATGTTTATGGTAAATGGATTTGCTTTTTCATCAAATCACGGCATTTTGATTTATCAAACCCGTTAAATTGAGATCATACTGGTTTTGTTTTTGTAATTCAAAATTTTTTCTAGGTTAATATATTTCAATCAAGAATTAGACACAAAGCGCACTTGCTTTAGTGCAAAGTAAGTATGAATGAATGAAAATATATAAAAATGTATCTATTTTATTCTATTTTGGGTGAGTTCGACTTATATTACATATCGGAGTGAAAGGCTGTGTTAGGTATTTTCTTTTCTTTTCATTCTTTTCAAAAGATTTAGCTTTACACAAAGTATGATAGAATTAGATATTTTTGATTTCATTAAAAAAGACTTCATTTATTATCACCTTTTTCATTCGATTTAGTACAATACAGAAGTGTTAATCAAGTTTAAGAAATACATACATGCGTGTACTGCGTACAATGCATGTAAAAAAGCAGTATTCATCATGCAATTAGCACAATTAAAACATCGATTTTTGCTACTACTACATCTTTGGTCAGTGTACTGCAGATTACTGCAGTACACACACAGTGGAGGGTGACCCTGATTTTGCTACTAGTTGTTACTACATACAGTGGGATCATATCTTATTTACAAAAAAGTAGGTTAATATTAAACACACTCCTCATAAAAGGCCATTTTGGAAACTCACTTTCAGAACTTTTAAAGATTTCAATCTCAACAGAGGCTATGCGTTGGAATGGTATCTACAATGGAAAAGTCCTGGGATCGTGTTGGATCGGTGGGACAAAGGACCAGTTTGTCTCTAGGGATCTTCTGCAATTGCAACCAAACCACAGTAATTCTGTTGCAAGATGCAACAAGCCAGTCCACACACATGAATCGAGAATTTCTCCATGAAAAGTTGGTTGCCGGTCCATTTTGAACAAGACTCAATGAACCATGTCCATGACGCTAGCAACAATTGAAGAACTGAAGAGGGTGGTTAAAGAGCATGGATGATTTAATCAAGAAAGTGTGTGGTTCCACCAGAGCACTAGATTGCATGAAATGAGTGACTCAAGCATCTGAAGTAAATTATCTGATTTTTGATAATTAGTTTAACAGCTCAAAGTGGAAAATATTAACTGTAAAGTTAAATCCTTTTTGCATAATGTTAAATATCTGATGTATTTAGTTAGTGGAAGCAACTTATTTAGGTAATGTCGTAGTAAACTACTTAGCATAGTAGCTATTCATTGGTATTAGTTTTACTTTTCAAAAATAACTATGGCCAGAGAATAGCCGATTTATTGCTAAGAATTCCAGCGCAAAGGTACGATATCTTTACATAGAAACTATTTAAAAGTTTTTTAAGTACCAACAGCCCAATAAAATCTAAAGTTATCATATTTCAATGGCATCATGTGTCAGCCATTATATAATAAAATATGAAAACTTTTGATTTTAGAATTAGCAAGAAATTAACGTTTTTCATGTTCAACATGATTTGACATGCTAATACAAAGACGACCTTCTCTCCCTGTCAAACCGGTTCCTAGATTCCAACTCGCGGATTCCTGAGGAAGTAGGTTCCTCAGGAGAACACATCAATCTGTCAAATGTGTAAAATAAGTTATATTTTAAAAATAGACAATTTTTAGATAACTTTGAAAAAGTTAAAGATATTTACAATTAATTATTAAATACTACAGTTTGATATGTAAAAAGATTATTTGCAAATATAATTTATATGGAGATTTCTAATGTATGTTCTCTCACTCTTGCATTTAAAGATCTTGTTGTCTGTCCTATGTATTGTAGTTTACATTTTTCACATGTAATACAGTAAACTACATTTCTGGTCTTACAGTTGAAAGTTCTATTAATCTCAATCTTCGTACTGGTATTAAAGGTTTATAGCTGTTCCAGGCTCTAAGTAGTGACAGGTTGGACAATTTAAACCACAAGGTTATACTCCAGGTATTAGCCTTTCTCGCCTCATTCTAGGAGGATTTGGAATTCTGGTTCGGAGGAGTTTTTAATGTTGTTTTGGATAAACAAATTTAGTATTAACGATTATCTAACAACGCACAATTACTCTTTGATCTAAATGTATCAGTTAATATGTTAGATTAAACCAATCTATTCTATAATGTGTTTATAACATACGCAGAGAACAACGTTCGGGTCATATTTCAGATCATACTATTTAACCTACATTAATTTAGTTTATTCCCCCCCCCCCTTCCCTCATATCTCTTTTCTACAGAAAAATGAGATGGAATACTTTTAGATTTAATATTTAGGACTGGGCCGACTTTGAAGTGTCTTTGACTTTATTTCACTATGTCACTTAAACTAGTTTGAAACCTTAGACATGTACATTCACAAAACTATAGTTTTTAAGAAGTAATTGGAAAGTTTTAAACTTCGGAGCTTGCAACCTTTCGATTACTGTTATAGGAGGAGGGGGAAGAGCAAAGGAAGGAGAGGGAGGGAGGAAAAGCGATATGATGGAGGAAGGAAAAACGTTATGATGAAGGGAGGAAAAGCGATATGATGGAGGGAGGAAAAGCGATAGGATGGAGGGAGGAAAATTGATATGATGGAGGGAGGAAAAGTGATATGATGGAGGGAGGAAGAGCGATATGATGGAGGGAGGAAAAGCAATATTATGGAGGGACGAAAAGCGATATGATGGAGGGGGGAAAAGTTATATGATGGAGGGAGGAAAAGCTATATGATGGAGGGAGGAAAAGCGATATGATGGAGGGAGGAAAAGTGATGATAGGATGGAGGGAGGAAAAGCGATATGATGGAGGGAGGAAAGGACGAAGGAGAGGAAAACGAAAGTAAGAAAAAAAGAAATTGTGAGAATGTAATTTTAAAAAAGGAGGATTACAAATACTAATAATCTCTCTACTCTTTGCAGGATAAAGTTTATTTCTGAAAATCCTAATTCAATATTTTGGTATATTTGAAATGTGTTATAACTTAATTTTACAATAAACTTGATCCTTATTAAACTTTAGCTCATCCATTTTTATAAAAGGGAATGCAGACGTAATTTCAAGTTACCCTCCATTTATAAACTAGCATGTCGCAATCTGAACGGTAACCTTAAAACCTTTCTCTTATCTTGTATGCATTCTGAATTAAAGATATCCATGGTTGTAACTTTGAAAACTGATTCTTATCAATTGTTGATAAACTAAAATTAGTTGCGGATTTATAATTCAGGAAAACACTTGTTTATCCGGTAAAGGTTTCCATGGTACCATTGTGAATCCGTAGTGAATCTTTATATAGAGGATCACATCTAATTTGTAGGACAGTCCCATTCATATGTCTTCCAGTTATTAACTGAGATAAATGTGTTAAATCTATCTCTCAATCGGCATACCTTCAAAGATGAAAAAATAATCAAATATGGTTCCAACACAGCATTTATTAAACATTCATTAAAGTTTCACAAACAGTGAGAATTCAGATTAAAAAATGTTATATACAATATTTTCAATATTTAATTATAGACTAGATTTCTCTGTATTTAAACTAGTTTTTTGTAACAGTAAGATCAGTAATGGGTCCAAGTTCTTAGTTTAACCCTATAAAAGCTGGGGGGTCTGAATCTATGTATAGGCTGGGGGGGGGCGTTCCCCCCCCCTAGAAAAAGGCCTTAAGGAATAGGTATAAGGTTACAATGCAAGTTCTCAGGCCATTTTTTCAAGGCCAGCTCATTGAAAAAAAAATCGATAACGTTTGTTGTTTCGGATTTAAAATGATACGCGTTCGACTTATAAATTAAAATCTCTGCATAGTCAATACAAGTTATTTTTGTTTGTTTTTCTTTCAGACAGATTGACAGTTTTAAATTGCGTTTCTATGTAATAATAATTGGCGGATTTTTGTAGTAGTCACAACGATTGAAAAATATAGAATTCATGTTTTTTTAGATAAAGTGCTAAATGTGCCGTTGTGAATCGGCATTTAACGCGCTTTGAATTGGGCTCATTTTCTTAAAGATATAGAACGTGCAGTGTACACAATAAAACTTTCTGTTCTAGTAACTACATTGTTAATAATTATGTTGCGCGCAAACATATCTGCAGCAATTGTTTTCTTCATGATTTAAAAAATTGTATTTTTGATATTTAAAAATCATTTTTGGACTAGATAAAAAAGACTAGGTGCGACAATTGTTGACAATTTTTAAACGTGAATTATGACTTGATATACAACTGTTTATTTTATAGAAAATCCTTTAAGTTTGCCGAGAAAAGAAAATATTAGCTTGAATTAAACTAAAGTGGATTGTTTACAAGTTCTCCTTTTCCATTTTCTTGGATCTCTTGTGTCTTATCATGTGTCTTTCCAAGTTTACTCTCTTGCTGAAAACGTTCTCACACTCTGTACACTGAAACAAAAATAATACATTTTGTAGCAAATATTGCGCACAAGACAAAGGAATTGAGGTCTTTGACGTTAGGCTGTAAAGATATAAGGATTAGAAAATTAGAGTTTGTATCAAAGACTCAAATCCTTTGTGTAACATTTAGTAGTATGATACTTATACTTAATAAAACATTAACCCTTAACAATTTTTTCTAGTAGAATTCATGGTTTGACATATTAACGGCATGAAATCAGAAAATCCAATCATGAAAACAGAAAATTCAAGCATCAAAAAAATCCAATCAAGAAAACAGAAAAAAAACAATCATGAAAAAAGAAAATCCAATCAAAAAAACATAAAATCCAAACTTGAAAACAAAAATCCAATCATGAAAACATAAAAACCAATCATGAAAACAGAAAAACCAATCATGAAAACATAAAATTCAATCACGAAAACAGAAAAACCAATCACGAAAACAGAAACCCAATCATGAAAACAGAAAAACCAATCATGAAAACATAAAAACCAATCATGAAAACAGAAAAACCAATCATGAAAACAGAAAAACCAATCATGAAAACAGAAAAACCAATCATGAAAACAGAAAAACCAATCACAAAAACAAAAAAACCAATCATGAAAACGGAAAATTCAATCAAGAAAACAGAAAAACCAATCATGAAAACAGAAAAACCAATCACGAAAACAGAAAAACCAATTGTGAAAACAGAAAAACCAATCATGAAAACATAGAAACCAATCATAAAAAAAAACAATCATGAAAACAGAACTACCAATCATGAAAACAGAAAAACCAATAATGAAAATATAATATCCAATCATGAAAACATGAAATTCAATCACAAAAACAGAAAACCAATCATGAAAACAGAAAAACCAATCATAAAAACATAAAAACCAATGATGAAAACAGAAAAACCAATCATGAAAACAGAAAAACCAATCACGAAAACATAGAAACCAATCATAAAAAAACAATCATGAAAACAGAAAAACCAATCACGAAAACAGAAAAATTAATCATGAAAACAGAAAAACCAATCACGAAAACAGAAAATACAATAATGAAAACAGAAAATACAATCATGAAAACAGAAAATACAATCATGAAAACAGAAAAACCAATCATGAAAACAGAAAATCCAATCATGAAAAAAAAATCCAATCATGAAAAATCCTGCAGTATATAAAGTGTCCTCAGCTTCAACACACCATTAGGTAAAGTAAAAGTAGGAATACAAAGAATAGAAGACGGATATAGACAGATTTGGTGATAGCTAGATAGATATATAGATAGATATATACATACAGGGTGACCTTAATAACAGGCATTAGGGGTTTTCAGTTCTTTTATTTGTTAAAAAATAGTTAGTTATAAGAAGCCGTTTAATTAAGTTGTTTTCGTCCAAATATTCCATTTTAATTATTTACAACTACTTTACAGGGAAGTTAAGGGAATTTTACTATACCAAAGGTTCCCAAGACCAATTTTTCTAACTAAACATCCAGAGCCAAGCGAGGGATGTTTTGTATGCAGAGTTGGCACGCAAAAGTAAATTCAACCTATATGAAACATAAAGTCTGACCGCGTCAACCTTGTTGCACCGGCCGGCTAGTCCTGTCCATAGAGCTAGGTACAGTACAAACTGGGACTGCAAAGGTTGACCCGGCTCGGAAATTCAAATGTACTACGGCTGCCCGTGTTGGTCAAGGGAACCCTGGTTAAGTAAAAATTTTAATTTCCCGAAAAAGTAGTTGTTTGTACACATTGTTATTGTAATTTAAGATAAAAAGGCGTGAATTTTTTCATAAAAACTTTGAAGAGCGAGTAGTTATTTTACTTAATTGTCCCAAAGGACTTAAGTACCTTAACGTTCCTCTGTCAAAGGAATCATGGATCGGTTATATTGGTCTATAGGCGGTAAAATATAAACTCCGGTGAATATCCCCGTTAACTTTAACTTATTAATATTGTTAAATAAATCTAAATTGTTCTTAACACATGAAACCACTTAGATTTTTCTTTTGGGTTTTCTAAAAAAGATGAAAAGATAGATAATCTGTTAATCCACAAATTAAGATTGATGAAACCTACGAAAGAATGAATACATAGATGTATTAGAGTGAACACTTGAAAGTGAAGACTGCTGATTCTAAAGTATAGAGAGTAGAGTATCATAATCTTTATTTCTCTCTTTTATCCTGAAAGTTGTCTGTATAACTATAAAGCTATTTATATATATATATGTAAAGTTGTAATCTTGGTTTTCAGATTCTAAGTTGAGAGGGTTGACTTTTATAGCGAAAATGTAGTTTTCCGGTAGGTGTCCACCAAGGGGGGTAAACGGAAGGAGTAACTATGAGTACCCTGGGCAACACTGGGCTTGGTTTCCTAGGGCGGCCCTATAAAAATTGCTCAGAGGTGCACTTTTTCTTTTGTATAGATATATATGAAACTAAGAAAAATCCAAAATATTTTTTATTTTTGACCATTTTTTCCGGTGCCGTCGGAAAAAACATGATTTTTTGGCCATTTTTGAACTTTATTGATTTTATTTCTTAAAACTTTTATAAAATCCAAAGTTTTTTGGTTTTTCACTTTCTATTTGATCTAATCTATGCTTAATGATTTAGACAACTTAAGAAATCTATAAATATTTTGAAGTGATTTTCCTCCACTTCAATGACATGTATTGAAATCCTTGTAGAATCATCAATTTTTAACTTCAGGTCAAGGTTACGCACAATCAAATATCAATTTATTTTGCATTTTTGCTTTCAGCCTATACCCCCTTTAATTTTTCCTTTTTAGTCCCTGTAAGATTAAGGTTTGACACAATTTAAAGAGCTTAAATATCAAGCTATAAGTTAAACATGATAAATGGAACAAAAAATATATTACATTTTATTCATCTCAGCATTGCACAGTTTTCTTGATTGTCATTCAAAAATATTTAATTTTTGAAAGTATTTCTGTGCACAACAATCAAAAGAGATCCTCTGGAACACAATAACACAGACAAAATTTGGATTTGAAACTGCTGTTTCATCTCTGTGATGGACCATACGTATCAGACAAAGAGGAGGATTTGTTGTAGCTGCATATATTCTTAACAGTCTAGAGAACTGGATTCTACAAGGATTTCAATATATGTCGTTGAAGTGGAGGAAAATCACTTTTCTTCAATAACATATCACTTCAAAATATTTATAGATTTCTTAAGTTGTCTAAATCATTAAGCATAGAATATGTCAAATAGAAAGTGAAAAACTGAAAAAAAGGTTTTAATATTTGTCAGCGAGTGTTTTGACAAGGATAGTGTAAAGTAAAAACCAGATTATTTTTCGACTAAACTTGCATGAAAATAAAATAGTTTTCGACAATTTTTAAAACAAATTTTAATATTAAGTCTTATAAAGTAGTATCTGGGGTTTCCAAAATGATATTAAACAACATTCCAAGTCAAAAACTATGTATTTTATAAACATTTCAAAAGAGCAAGTTCAAAATGTCCAAACACATCATTAAATTATAAGAGAGTTACAATTTTCAAAAAACTCAATAAAACGGAGTTTTTGAACTGTTCATTAATCGACCATTTTTGAAGGTATTTCAAAAAGTAATGACATTTTAGAATAAGTATAAAATATAGAAAATGAAAATTAATTTTTTTGTTCAGTTCTCAGGGTATGTTAATGAGCTGCAAGTGCGCATCAATAAAATCAATGATTTTGGGACTAAAACTGCTTATAAAACTAAGATATTTCAAAATATTCAGTATAAGTTGGTTTTATCTTTTAGACCATTATCTGGGATTTCCAAAATGATATAAAACATTATTCTCAGTCAAAAACTTTGGATTTTAAAAAAGTTTTAAGAAATAAAATCAATAAAGTTCAAAAATGGCCAAAAAAATCATGTTTTTTCCGACGGCACCGGAAAAAATGGTCAAAAATAAAAAATATTTTGGATTTTTCTTAGTTTCATATATACCTATTCAAAAGAAAAAGTGCATCTCTGAACAATTTGTACAGGGCCGCCCTAGGGTTTCCAAGCTACTATATTATATGTACAGGGTGTCTAAAAAAAAGGGGAATAAGGGTCTACAGACTCTATTCTATTCGGATTATCAAGATTGAGACAATTTTGGAAATCTACGTACAATTTTCGATTCTATAAGCCCATGCAATTTTAGGCTTGAAGATCTAAAAAAATGTTATAAGCTCCTAAAGTTTCCAACTGGAGTGAGTAATTTTATAAAAATGAGATAATCTCCGCTTTCATAATTTTGTACAAGGGTCTACAGACTTGCTTGTAATCGGATTTTTTAAATTGAGATCATGTTTTAAATCTACATAAAATTTCCGATTCAATGAGTCCAATTTTAAGCTTATAGATCTAAAAATAACAATTTTTTAAGCTTCTTAAGTTTCCAAATGGAGCAAAGTAAAAAGTTAAAACTAATCTCCGTTTGCACAATTTAATATTCAATGTTAGGATACAGTTTATTACAGTATAATTGTTATTTTTAGATCTACAAGCCAAAAGTTGGGCTCATACACTCGGGAATTGTACGTAGATATAAAAATTATCTCAATCTTGAAAATCTGATTACAAGCAAGTCTGCATAGACCCTTATGTGCATTAAAGGAGATTATCTTTATTTTTACCAAATTTACTCACTCCAGTTGGAAACTTTAAGAGCCTTTAAAATTGTCATTTTTAATTCTACAAGCCTAAAATTGGGCTCATTGAATCGGAAATTGTACGCAGATTTTAAAAATGGTCTCAATCTTGAAAATTCGATTACTAACAAGTCTGTACGACCTTATCCCCGTTTTTGAGACACCCTGTATATATACCTATAAATCTATTTTTATGAGAGAATTTGCTAATTCTAGGTTTTGTCCAGTGGGTTATACCAACCCCATATTTATTTCTAATATAATGCAATGTAGACATTTCATACTAAGCTTTTAGGGCCCTTTCTTTTAACTGTTGCTCTAAAAGTCGGCCATTTTAAATTTTCAAATTTTGGCGATATTTTTTTCAAATTGGAGCATTTATAAAAAAATCCACTTTTTTCCAAAAATAATTTCCTGTGAGGTACCACACAAAATTTCGGCCCGATCAGTTTAGCCGTTTTGACGTTTATTGGATACAAAACGTACACACAGACAAGTACATATTTTCAAATATTTTTAGTATATTTTTTAGAAAATACGGCAAACATTAGGTTGCAAGGATATAAGGATTAGCACAATGAGTTTGAGATAAATATTCACTTTGTACAACATTACTGCTAATTTTCACTTGTTTAAAAGAGGTTGTAAATTCGCGTAATATCAAGTTACCCTAATTACAAAGATGGCAATGACCAAATCACAATGGTACCCTTAAAACCTGTAATTGATCACAATTACAGATGATTAGTTCTAAAAATCATAAACATTGATATCTAATTCATAGCTGATCAGACAAAGCTTTTCAGGGTACCGTTGTGAATTGGGCATTGCCATCTTTGCATTGAGGGTCATTAGAAATTACGAGTACAGTCCCTTTAAAATGGTTGTCTTTGCTTTGAAAGTTTAGCTTAGTTTAGATTAGTCCTATCTTAAACAAAGATTTTGCCTCTGCACTCTGCAGTAAGATTTGTTCGTGTTCGTGTAAAAATCGACGAATAAGAAATCTGCCAGGGTTTTGGCAATTGTTGATGATTTGGCAACAAAAAGAACCTACTCATCTTTCCACCCTCATACAAAACCTACTCATCTTTCCACTCTCATACAAAACCTACTCATCTTTCCACTCTCATACAAAACCTACTCATCCTTCCACTCTCATACAAAACCTACTCATCCTTCCACTCTCATACAAAACCTATTTATCCTTCCACCCTTATACAAAACCTATTCAACCTTCCATCCTCATATAAAACCTACTCATCCTTCCACTCTCATACAAAACCTACTCATCCTTCCACTCTCATACAAAACCTATTCATCCTTCCACTCTCATACAAAACCTATTCATCCTTCCACTCTCATACAAAACCTATTCATCCTTCCACTCTCATTCAAAACCTAATCATCCTTCCACTCTCATAAGAAACCTACTCATCCTTCCACCCTTATACAAAGCCTACTCATCCTTCCACCCTCATACAAAAACTACTCATCCTTCCACCCTCATACAAAACCTACTCATCCTTCTACCCTCATACAAAACCTACTCATCCTTCTACCCTCATACAAAACCTACTCATCCTTCCAAGTATTTTAGAGCAAAAGGTACAATTTTCATTTTACGATAACAAATATTCAAAATACTGAAGAAAGAAAAACTAAAAAATCAAACTAACTTAAGTTCCTGCATATTTTAGGCCAAAAAGAATAACTAAACAACTTGTAAATTCAACATTTTTTTCAAATTTATGTACATATATACTTATATGTTAGCTATAGGTGGCTGGACCAAATTGGCTGACATTTTTTGTGGAAAGCCGTGGGTACCCTGTGGGTAACATAGACTTTAAAAAATTCGAGGGTCGTTTTTCAAAATTCGATTTTTTTCTATAGGGTTTTTAAAATTTCACTGGCAACGCCGGGCACATCAGCTAGACTGCTAGCATCTTTATGATATTATATCTTTACATAATTCAAAATTAATGATTTTCTTGGATCTTTTTAAATTATTTTCTTTGAAGGTTAACGTTCATGTTTTATGTGTTTCTTAAACTTAACAAATTTTCCTGATCTTTTCCTGGAATTCTTTTAGAAACATTTGTATGTGTTTTTTAAACTTAACAAATTTCCCTGATCCTTTAATCTAAATTGTTTAAAGATCTTCTCCTGGAATTATTTTTGGAACATATTTATACTGTTATATTTTGAGCCAACTGTTTTTATTTAATACTGGCATGTACATGGTTACCCACAAAGGATGAGACTGTAAGGACGACCTAAAATTAAAAAATATGACGATTTAAAGGGACTGTAAAGGAAAAATGAAAGGGGGTATAGGCTGAAAGCTAATCACTTTAGCTCTTGATCGTGACCCATGAAAGTTATATCTGATGTTTATATCTCGAGAAACTGATTTACAACTTTGTCAAATTTATACGAAAATTAATACATATACAATTTCGTATAAAAGTAGAGGGTTTAAATAGATCAAATTCAGCAAATAAGCAACCAATCTGAAAACGATGATATCCCAGGGAAAGCTAATTGTAAATTAGGTTTAGCAATTCTAATTTTATATTTTTTATTTCTATTTTTAATAGATTTAATTCATTCAACTATTTATACGTCCGTATTACTTTACCAGAAATTCCACCAATGACAATGCAGTAAAGTGGTCATGTGATACAGGCGGAGACACGTGACCAGTATACTGCTCTGTCATTGGTGATAGTTCTGGTCACGTGATTAAAGTTTAAGGTTTTCTAAATTTTACATTTATGAACTTTCGTATACTTTTAACACAGTTTTATATCAATTTCTCGAGACAGGAACATCAGATAAAACTTTCATGGGTCGCGATCAAGAGCTAAAGAGATTAGCTTTCAGCCTATACCCCATTTCATTTTTCCTTTACAGTCCCATTAAAGCTTGATTTTTGATTTTTGCATTCAATTTTTACCAGGATTCCTATCCACAGTTTGATCCTTTACATCTTATATTCACCCATCCAAACTAAGTCAGCTTTAACAGAGATCAAAGCACACATAGCTAGTCTGGAAAACCTCCCAGGAATTGTTTAAATCTAACTTTTGTTAAGTGTTAGAATAACAATAATTTCTATGCAGGCAAAAAGAATCTGATGACGACTGTACGTATCGTTTCTTTACTAAGTATTACTGTTGCTCTTGAGGGATTGTATCTAGATCAATTCCAGAAGGTGAATACTTCTGATAATTCAATAATTATTCTTAAAATAAATAAGATTGTTCCTGACCTGACTTTAAACTAATTCAGGAATATACTAATCTACATGCATTGATCCTACAGAATCAAGGACCAATTGCAGTCCGCGGTGTTCACAGGACACACTTGAAAGGTTATTATCTAATAAACATTCGCAGGAGAAATTATACCGACCACAGAGAACTTGAAACCTGATCAAACCCCAACAGAAGACATTTGGATCAGCGTGCGAGAAAACCAAAACCGCCATCAAATGTAAGATTTATATTAGAAAGCTTAGGACACTATTGTATTTTGTAAAATATTCTCGTGTGCCTTTTGAAACAGATGTTTTAAGCTTTTATAAAGTTTTCATATAACTCTTCAAATACTTTTATCGGGTCGTAACATTTCACCAGATATCACATTTTGAAATATTGGATTTTAATGTATCCTGACAAATAACTTTATCTGGTCACAACATCTTACCATTCATCACATTTTATAAATATATCATGCTATGTTTATATTTTCAGCTTCACAATGCGTTGATGATCAAGAAATAAAATAGACTTGATTGTTTTTACGTATAAACATTAAACAATGTGGTTAAAAATAGTTCTGTACTTCTAATGTTCTGACGGTGAAAATGAAATTAAGAGACGCTAAAAGCTGAAAAGTGCACCACACTAACTTGTTAAATTACTTTGTGAATGAAATTAGTCTACTTGAAGTTATAATTTGAGTCTAAAAATGGAATTCTTGTTCCTAAAGTACTTTATCTTAAGAGTGTAAAATTTGGAAGGCATTTTTTCGCTTGTTCTAACATTGGGGTTCTTTGAGCAAGCTCTTCTTAACGTTCTAAAATGTGACTCTGTGGTACAAGAGAACTATTAATTTTATGAAATATGAAAGTGTTTCTTTAAAAATATTTACCATTTTTTATGTAAATGAAATCCGTAACAAGATCACAATTTTAGCTTTTTTAGCAAAATATAATTTTGCGCTACAAACGATATGACGAATTTAAACGTTTAAACCCATTTTTCAAACACTTTTTAGTCTATACAAAGAATTATACTATTTGATAACTGCAGAGTACACACTATTTTGGTAAATTTATACTACAGTGGTCGGCGTTCAAATCAAGACAATGAAGACGACATTTCTTTTCAGTTTCTCACAAACTTTTCAAATCAAATCAACACAGAGAAACTGTTTATTCTTAGTTTCCATGTGTATGCTGTTAGCTTGGTAAACATGAAGATTGAAATGAAACCCATCTTCATTTTAGTGATATCAACGACGTCAAGTGTAAAAAGGTTTTTTACCTGATAATGCCTATCTCTGTTATGAATATTTCTGAGATGCCGCTGAAGATTTGAAGATATCGAGAAACTTCTAAAAATGTACTTTAAATAGACTGTAGACCTAATTGCAAGCATGTCAGAGTCCCAACGTTACCAATAAATACAAATGTGAATGATCAAAAATTGCATAAGATATCTATCATTTTTTTCTCAGGAAATAGATTTATTTCAATTATGGCTTCTCTGTGATTAAATAAAAGGTTTACAGGGTACCGTTGAAATTCGGACATGACCCTCTTTTTAAATTAAATGACACTTGAACTTGCAACAACACTCCCTTTAAGAATACAAGGAAAAGTAAACACTGTTCTAACTCAATCTATTTTCTTAAACTTTAAACAATGTGTCAATAAAGTTTTAAAGGTTACAAACTGGGCAAAGATATTAAAAGAGTAAACGTTTAGGAGAAATCTATATTTTTATAAAATTGTGCATGGTGTATAAAATCTATATTTTTAATTATGTATGAAATCTATATTTGTAATTGTGTATGAAATCTATATTTGTAATGGTGTATAAAATCTATATTTGTAATGGTGTATAAAATCTATATTTGTATTGGTGTATAAAATCTATGTTTGTAATTGTGTATGAAATCTATATTTGTAATGGTGTGTGAAATCTATATTTGTAAATGTGTATGAAATCTATATTTGTAATGGTGTGTGACATCTTTACTTGTAATGGTGTATGAAATCTTCACTTGTAATGGTGTATGAAATCTTTACATGTAATGGTGTATGAAATCTATATTTGTAATAGTGTGTGACATCTTTACTTGTAATGGTGTATGAAATCTATATTTGTAATGGTGTATGAAATCTATACAATTGTAATTGTGTGTGAAATCTTTACTTGTAATGGTGTACGAAATCTTTACTTGTGTATGAAATCTATATTTGTAATGGTGTGTGAAATCTATATTTGTAAATGTGTATGAAATCTATATTTCTAATGGTTGTAAAATCTATACTTGTAATGGTGTATAAAAGCTAGAAATTGTTTGTTCCGTTTAACTTTATAATTATTTTATAGTCAATAGTAATAATCAATCCAAAAAAATGTCCATTGTACATGTACACGGTTTTACTGGGGATACGAGTACAATTTACAGTGCTCTGTACAGTAAACCGTATAAAGGGTACAATTTACAGTGAACTCTACAATACTTGCGCAGTCATAAGAGTACAATTGTCAGTTTTCTGTACAGTAAACGTTCAAAAGTGCACAATATAAGTGTTCTTTATAAATAATAGTCTTGGATTACAATACAATGCACGGGTTGAAGAGTACAATTACATACTCTCCGCCAAAAACTATTCCATTGGTTAGAGTACTGTGTAGAGTACGCACCGAAAGCTTAGTTTAGGGTTTTCTTTACAATGTACAGTCTGAGGATAATAATTTACAGTGTTTTGTATATACAATGTGGCAGTCTGAAGATAACAATTACAGTGTTCTGTATATACAATGTACGGTCTGAGGAATAACCTACAGTGTTCTGTATGAACTATGTGCAGTCTGAGGATAAAAATTTACAGTGTTCTGTATATACAATGTACGGTCTGAGGAGCATAATTGACATTGATCTAAAATAACTGTTTTCGGTATTAAGATTACAGCACAGTCTGAATATGCATTCAGCCGTACTGTCCAGTCAGGCTACCCAGTGTGGTGTTGACCCAGAACGTCTTATGCAAGAAAACTAGCATGGCAAGATTATATAGTGAGTACTACTTACTGTGCTCTTTATAGTGTACAGTTTGTTGTACATATTCTACTAACCTGCAGCATAGGTTACATGAGTATGGCTGTTCTCCAGTATGTGTTCTAATGTGTCTTGTCAGGTTTGCTGATCTTGGAAATATTTTTCCACAAAACGTACAAGCATATTTCTACAAGAGAGCAGATTGTTAAAATAGTCAGATCTAAAAATTTTCTTATTGTCTTAACTTAATAGAACAATAAAATAAATGGTGTAAAAAACCCAAACACAGGCTTAATTGTTATCCGATCATATTGTTATCCGATCATATTGTTATCCGATCATATTGTTATCCGATCATATTGTTATCCGATCATATTGTTATCCGATCATATCCGATCATATTGTTATCCGATCATATTGTTATCCGATCATATTGTTATCCGATCATATTGTTATCCGATCATATTGTTATCCGATCATATTGAAATTTCTATCACAGTGTTTTCTAGGACGTTAGGTAGTGTCGACCAAATCCAATCATGTCATAATGATTAGATAATAATTAAGCCAATGAGAGAAAAAAGGACTTTTTTGACACCCTTTATTTGTTTGTTTTCTTGTAAACGGATCATAAAAAAGTTTTAGTTCTTTTTTAAATTACCTTAATTATCAATATAAATACAGAAAATAAAATACATCTTGGTCTTAATTTCTCAAAAGGAATTGATTTTTTGCCGCAAACTTAAGTTTTCTAATCCCTATATCTTTGCAAGCTGATTATAAAAATCTTTAATATTTCAACCTTAGACTTTTTGATCTAGAACAGTTCATAGTTTGAAATATCTAAGGTCTACAACATTGGGTTGCAAAGATATAGAAATTCCTTTAATTGGCATTTTATAGTAAAAATATCTTTTTAAAGTGTTGCTCTTAGGTTCTTTTTGTCGTCACTTTTTTTTACAAAATTAAAATCTCGGGGATTTTTAAAAACAGAAATTTTTTCTTGGCAAAGTTCTGACCGTCCATAAACCTTCCCGTATAGTCATGTGATCAGAGCTGAAAACTTAAGAATGGTGGATATCGAGATTAAGTCTTGATCCTCTCTTTTTCTTAATATCGAGACTAACCTAATCTTGTACTTGTATCCTAAAAAGTGTGTAGAATTCAATCAATCAGAGTCGCGTATATGAAGCCGATAAATTTGAAATTTTGCGCGCCATTTGAGACTAATTTAAAGAAACGGGAGGAACCCTCTAATTTTATAATACGGTTTTTGATTTTTTCATCTATATCCAAAAAAGAACGGTTTAAGAAGAAAATCAAAAATATGTCCATTGTATACTCAGATTAAGTAATCGGGATTAGGGATATCTTATTCTAAAGTTTTCAGCTCGGTTCGTCTATTTTAAGCTGCATACTTTTTGGATATATTTTCTTGCGCAGAAAGTGTCGGAAATGCACAAAATACGACCAAAAATATTCCAAAACTATATTCTAAATTTTTATCAAAGAAGAAATAACTATTTTTAAAAGCAGGTTTCAAGGATAGAATTTAGAACCAGATTCTAACAATGTCTCAATTTGAAATTCGTTGAAAGTTACTTTAAGGCAAAAAATCAAAATATCAAATATTCAAAGATTTTCTAATTCCATGTTTGCAGAGTAGATTAATATTTACCTTGGGCTGGTTCTGGTGAAGGAAAGAATGCTCCCAGATAAAATGTAGACCTGGAGGAGGTGGAAGTGGGGGTAGATAAGGACGAAGAGACAATGTATTCATGGCGGCGGCGGGGTGGCGGTTGACAGTTGATTCATTACCTGGAAGGTGGCGGGGTGTAGTTGTTTCATGGCCGGGTAGGTGGCGGGATGTAGTGTATTCATGATTAGGTAGGAGGCGGGGGGTAGTTGATTCAGGGACGGGTAGGTGGCGGGGAGTAGTTGATTGATGACCAGGTAGGTGGCGGGGAGTATTTAATTCAGGGACGGGTAGGAGGCGGGGAGTAGTTGATTGATGACCAGGTAGGTGGCGGGGAATATTTGATTCATGACCGGGAAGAAGCCTGGGAGTAGTTGAATCCTTGTCACGCAGGTGAAGGAGAGTAGTTGAATCCTTGTCACGTAGGTGAAGGGGAGTAGTTGAATCCTTGTTACGTAGGTGAAGGGGAGTAGTTGAATCCTTGTCAGGTATATGGCGGGAGGCAGTGGTTTTATCATAAGGTAGGTGGCGGGGAATAGTAGGGTTTGTGAGTGTAGTCGTAAATTGAGAAAGACGATCAGGACGACTTGAACAAAGTGGAATAAGTCTTTTAGGGACAGGGCGAACTACAGGGGGCGGAGAACTACGGGGCGGAGGCGGATAGGGGCTGAATCTGGGTAGCGAGGTAATGTCCAGGTTTCTGAAAGTAGACGGATTGATGAGGAACGGAGAGTTGGATAAGATCTGGTCGGGTTTGATAGGATTAAAGGATGAGGATGAGTAGGATGGATAAAGAAGATTGAAAAGCTGGAGTCGAGCCAGGGAGAGATGAGAAGAAATATATAAAGAAGGATCAGGATACAAGGATTTTCTATAGTTTTTCTCCGGGTATTCAGCTTCACTGGGGGATATTTCATCTTTAGGTGTGAAGAACGAGAAGGGATTAATCTTCTCCTTGGGTTTCTTGCGTTCATATTTTGTTTCTACCGATAACTTGACCTTGAAGAATTCATTCTTACTCTGTTCTTCTAGAATTTCGGAGGCCGGAGAAAAAATAGTTTTTTTACGATTCTCCTTCAAATAATCCTCAGAGATCAGGCTTAAAGATTCAGAGAACTTCTGCACTTCACCTCTAGCATTGTCTGGAACCTAGGATTTAAACTGCATCAAAACAGATAGATAGATAGATAGATAGATAGATAGATAGATAGATAGATAGATAGATAGATAGATAGATAGATAGATAGATAGATAGATAGATAGATGGATAGATAGATAGAATATAGTTATACAGATTTTAAAAAAGATATTTATTTAAAAACATAGGTTTTTGACATTCACAAAAAAAGGAAAATATGTGAGCCTATTAGATTTGAAAAGATAAAAGTTTTAACCCTATTCCCGCTGGGGGGGGGTCAATTTGACCCCCCCCTGTAGTTTTTTTTACATAACTCAAAAAGTATTGGTCTGAGGCTGTTGAAATTTTCTGACTTTTCTTACATACCCAAAGCCCTCCCTTTAGGCCTAAAACCGGGCTTTAATACTAACTGCCTGAGTCCTCAGGCACACTGCCTGAATGACTGCTTTTGCCTGTA